GTAAAAGGATTGCGAGGTAATGCAAAGGTATTGGGTGGGAACACAAAAGAAAAAAAATCCCCCCCATGTCCCCTCACGGGCTCCGTACCTTCATACCGCAAAATTGTAATATGTTTGTCTAAAATTATAATACTGTCAGAATTTCATACCGGSTCATGCCTGGTGCCAGCGTCCTCTCTCTCCCTCTCTTCTCGCTCTCTCTGCAGCAGAGTTTTGTGCATGTTCACTACACCTGCTCTAGACTTTCATATGTTGATTGTGCTTTGTTTTGTTTTTGTTGCTCTTTTGATAGATAAACTGTTTATTATGCATTTGTATCTTAATAAAGCATTACATATCCGGGCCCTATTTTTCATTACTTTTTTGCACATCTTGGAAATGCTTCTACAAYGTCCCCTGCAATGTGCTCACGTCCCACTAAGGGTATACCCCAGTTTGGAATAACTGGCCTGGGTTGTGCAAATAACTGTACAGCTGCTGAGCTGTGATTGGTGGAACAAAGTTCTGCTGAATGCTGATTGGCTCTGGCAGATGTTGCCAGATCACAACCCAAATTTTAATCAGTTGTTCATTGTGACACCAACATACTCTAAATAAAATCTGTTCTTATGTTTTTGCGTGACCTCGTACACAAGACGAACAGACAAACAAACCAAAGCTACCAAAAACATAACCTCCTTTTCGGACGTAACTTGAAAACTCCAACTTTTGGGTTCAAATAAAACACACCATAAAATATCACGCAAACTTTTGCATCATCAGATGTCTGGAAGGTCAGTTGTAAGCCCAAACTAAGCAATGTTTTATGACATAACAAAACAATTCATCAGGCACTTGATTTTTTTTTTTTATTCTATTAGTAGCCTACATTTGATCACACAGCTCTATGGATGAATGTGTGTGTGAGTGAGGAAGGACGGAGTGGCACCGTAAAACCAGAAAACGATTTAAAGGTTGGTTTTTATAGGATGTTGGCCAATCTGGTGTTTTATGTATCTATAAAGAGCTCCAAGGCCATGTTRACTTTTCATGTTTTAGAAACGCTATCAGCAATCTGAAAAAAGGCGGCATTGTGAGAGATCGAAGTTAAGTGCAGCATCAAAAGCTTTTACCTATTCACAGTTTGTCAGAACTGAAAGCCTGAGGTGCTCGTGTCATATAGTCATTTTCCTATTAATGGGTAATTTGCTTCCTGTGTGTATGTGTGTGCACATCATTTTATTGTGTTTTGTGTGAAGAGTCTGTCCATGTCATTTTTTCCTTTAAAGAGGTGCTTGTATTTGTTACTAATTTGCTGCAATTATTCAGTTTCCTCCCACATATCTGTCAGAAGTCGCTTTCTTATCGGTAGGGAATTAAAGAACTCTAATGAACTRGTGTGTTTGCTTTATTAAAACTATGGCAAATACCTATTTGATATTAAAGAACCGGCAAAAAATTATCCAGACAAACCGTTGTTAAATACAGACGAGTATTTCRGAAGTGGAATGACAAACAAGTTTTAACACCTGAATGGAAACATCTTTAGGACACAGGATTTAAAACTTTTGATAAAACTTTTAAGATCTACTGTAGCAGCACAATGCTTTTGGTATTTTTAATTTGGATTTGTCCAATTTTAATGCTAAAACCATGTACCCTGCAGAAAAGTTCAGATGGCTTCAGCAAAAAAAAAAAAAAAAAAAAATCCCAATAGAGCCCTACCAAGCCTATTATATGACCACAGTAAAAAGCTCCTATATAAGAGTCAAGCTGTCACTGTCAAAGTTAACCTCAAGGCATTACCTTTATACTAAATGTTTATTCTTTTATTTCCATTTTTGACAGAAAAGAAAAATACAGTAGTTAAAACATTGTTTACACATATATTTTAACAGTCATCTAAAAGTCCTCTACAGCTTTTTGGAAGATTTTTCACCTCATTCTTCAACAAATCTTCTGAAGAAGGCTTAGATACATACTAACGAGACAATCATCACATTTGGCTTTATGCTCGGGTCGATGACCTTCACAGCCGTGGCTTATCAGTTAAATGCAGCACATATGAATACTATATATGCCAGCATTGTGTGTGTGTGTGTGTGTGTGTGTGTGTGTGTGTGTGTGTGTGTGTGTGTGTGTGTGTGTGTG